CCACCCCCCTTCTACATTAAAATGATTTTTTAATTATATAGCCTAAAAATAGAGATAGTTTTAATTATGTGACCTAACAATTACAACTATTATTTGAATTGTAGTAGTATGAACTTCTCCCAATTTGTTCTGGTTTAAGCGGAACCTGAACACCCATTTTATATCAGCTTTATTTTTTTTTACAACAAATATAAATTAAGTTATTTCAACTTCTATTAATCACTCTTGTTGGCCCGGGTTTTAGCACGCGGGGAGTCTTGTTGTGGGAGGAAACCAGAGTACCCGGAGAAAACCCACGTGGTCTGCCCGATCCCATACCTTTTCACGTCCGATCGGGGAATCGAACCCCGGCCGTCTTGGTGAAAGGCAAGTGCGCTATCCATTGCGCCACCCGACCACCCACATTCAGTTTATTTTTTAAACCTTGGATTTTATTGGATTTGTCGAATTTTTCCCTGTTTCTGTCTTTTCAACTTAAGTTTTCTTTGATTTAGAAGAAATCATTGTTGTCGATAGGGATATTTATCATTCTATATATAAAATTTACCTATTTTACAAAAAAATGAATGATGCTAGATCAACTCGATTGAAAGAACGGCACCAGTAGGAATATGGTCAGTTACATCAGAATGTGAAAAGAAAGGTTCGTAAAGACAAGAGAGGATACATAGACAGCCTATCAGAACAAGCCGAAGAAGCAGCGAACAAAGGAGAACAATGCAACTTGCACAAGATTACAAAACAAGTTTGCCATCACAACAAACCACCATCAAATATTCCAATCAAGGACAAAAATGGAAATCTATTGACAACAGAGAACCAACAGGATAGTAGATGGGTAGAGCATTTCAGCGAAATTCTGAATAGATCACCACCTACAGAGGAAGCAAACATACAAGAACCATCAACAGAATTAGATATCGATACAGATCCACCACAAATGCCCGAAATTATAGCGGCCATTAAATGTCTAAAAAATGGGAAAGCACCAGGAAATGACAAGCTTAGTGCTGAACTATTCAAAGCAGATCCATCCTTGACAGCTAACATCCTCTATCCCTTATTTCAAGAGATCTGGAACAAAGTCGCAATACCTGAAGAATGGAACATAGGAACAATTATAAAAATACAAAAAAAAGGAGCTCTCAACGACTGTCACAATTGGCGTGGTATTACACTCATTTCTATCCCAAGTAAGATCGTGGCAAAAATAATCATTAAAAGGCAACTGCACATCAACTTCATAGACTTCGAAAAGGCATTTGACAGCATCCACCGAGATAGCCTTTGGAAGATAGTAAGATCATATGGCATTCCTCAAAAGCTGATTGACCTGATTAAAACCTTTTACCACAATTTCAACTGCCGAGTAGGATCCAGCGATGTGTATTTTCCGGTAAAGACTGGAGTCTGTCAAGGGTGCGTTATGCCATCTACCCTCTTCGTCATTGCAATATATTCGGTCATGCGAAGAACAACAGCAGACAAAAGCAGAGGCATTAGATGGGGCATATTCACAACACTTGAAGACATCGATTTTGCTGATGACATTGCCATCCTTTCACACAAACACCAACACATTCAAGAAAAGACCAATCTCCTTCAAGAATATGCTGGACAAATAGGTTTAAAAATCAACAAAAAGAAAACAGAAGTTATGACATTAAACATCACTAATCCAACACCAGTCATAATAAACGGACAACCCGTCCCGACAACAGACACTTTCATTTACCTAGGCAGCAAAGTTAGCAGAGATGGAGGCGCCGACAAGGACATAAAACAGAGACTTTCGAAAGCCAGAGCAGCATTCAACAATTTGCAACCAGTATGGCGATCCGGACAATACACCATACGGACTAAACTGAAATTATACAACAACTGCATACTTCTAATCCTTCTGTATGGTTCAGAATGTTGGAGAATGACAGAGCTAGACCAATTAAAGCTGTCCCATTCCATACAAAGAACTTGAGAAGGATCCTTAAAATAATTTGGTCACAAAAGATCTCAATCAAGAACCTTCTCAACAGATGCAACCAAAACGACATGTCAGCTATCCTTAGAGATAGACGTTGGAAATGGATTGGTCATGTTCTTCTGAAGAACCCTATCAACATCACTAAAACAGCTCTTTTTTGGACACCTGAGGGAAAACGAAAACGGGGAAGACCCAAGATAACGTGGAGAAGAACAGTCAATGCCGAGCTAGACGAATTACATCAGACATGGAGATCAATACAGAAGCTAGCCAACGACAGACAGTTGTGGAGGAATTTCGTTGCTGCCCCACACGCCACTGGGCGTAATGGGCAGTAAGTAAGTAAGTATTTTACAACAAGTTTTTTAAACTGATATTAATCACTCTTGTTGGTCCGAATATTAGCGCGCAGGGATTTTAATGTGGGAGGAAACAGGAGTGTCCTGTAGAAAACCCACGTGGTCGGGCAGGTGACCCGTTACCTTTTCACGTCCGGTCGTGGAATCGGACCCCGGCCGTGTTAATGAAACGCATGTGCGCTTAGCAAGCACAACCCGACCACTAATGTTTCATTTTGATAGACCATATCTACATTTCGTTTCAATGACAATCTGTTTAACATACGACAAATCGGAATTACCTTTGCTGATTTCTTCCGGCGAAATTTCGCAACTTTGAAGATGTTTTCTAATATGTTCATCTACGCTAGCTAAGAGTGGCTGGTATGATTTACATTTCCTTGGGAGTATTTTGAGAAGCTTTTCCACTCGATCGCCCGTGACAACTTCTGCCTGTATCCTCTCCTGGTCGTCTGTATTTAGAACATTTGATTCATACAAACCATCCACAACGGCCTTGATATCAATGTTGTCGATCAAGAAGCGACGATTCTTCCGGAGAACAAGTCGCTCCCTTGTCTCCATGCTTTTTTCAGTTTCTAGCGTACAGCTGTAATGCAAACCAAAAACAAAACATATACAAACTTACAAAAAATAATTATTGTTTACGCAGCTTAGCCTAATAGGATTCATAACAGAAGTTTGACTGTACCTAAATCTGGCATGTAATGCAAGACGAAATTGTGTCAGGTTTTGAGAATAAAAGGCATACAAGTAGTTCAAAAAATCCTTGCTCTTCTAGGAATAATCGGGCAAGCATCCTACCATCCGTCTTTATTACCTCTTGTATATATGCAGCTTAATGTGAATCAAAAACGGCACAAAGGGTCTGTCCGCCTACCTGTTATTCATCTCACATCTGTGACCTTCAAAGAGCTATGTTGATAATAAGCTTACTCTTTACAAGTTTTACTACCTTTTTTGGAACATTTTAACTTAGGTTACCCATGCGTCCTTCAAAATTGGCTTTAGTCATTTATTTGGATCCAAAAGAGCTGTGGTTGAAAACTGCCCATATTTGCCTAAGACGGCATTTATGAAACGGAGAAAACATGTTAATGAGTTAATAATTTCTAGTAGCGAAAATGCTTAGAATAGATATAAAACCAATTCAATATGAATTTTTGAACTGCTGAGATATTAGGTTTTGTTGATATGATACTGCAAATATAGTCATATACACTATTTCTATGGAAGTGATGTGATTTCCCAGACTAAAAAAAAAATACTTTCAACACTTTCCCATCCGAGGACCAACTTTTGAATAAACTTTTTGATTCCGTGATGTAATATGCAAAAAGAAATCGTATGCCGGAAAAGTGGTCCTCCTTTGCGAAAGTGCTCAAAATAATGAAAAACTGGTGTGAGCATTTTTTTAAAACCGAGACAGGTGTTTCTTGGGTTAAAACAGTTTGTATTTCCGTATTTGTAACGCAGTTAACTTGTGACCAGACGAAGAGAACGGTGAAAGTTGGAATCCACGTTCAGATTCATTTTTTGCTTTTTTGGTGTTTTTTGTTTTTAATAATTAGGTATGAGATCTTTTTCCTTAATTAAATAATCATTTTTTTCAAATCAATGGAACATTTTATTCATATTTTAATACCTATTGATTTAACTCCGTATCCCTGTATACGTGTACAGTACAGCTACGCTTTGTAAATAAGACATCATTTAAAACGATATTTATAAATTGGAGTATCCTCCTATTGGTACTAGTAGTTTTATTTATTAGTTAAACACAAACAAATGATGCCGAAATACAAAACATGTGGGATTGTTGCGTCAGAATTTCCAAAACGGCCCTACCAAAAAAACATAGTTATTATCGCAATGCATATATTACTAAAACTGGGGGGAAATTCATCGTCGAGGACAGTCTCATTTGTTTGAAATGCAGGATGACTGCAACACCATGTAAGGAGCGCAATATATGTGTAAGACATGCTTTTCGAAAATTATATGTATAGTTTGCCATTCAAATGTGCAGGAAGAACAAAATGTGTTTTGTAAGAAAACAGGTAACGGCAAGAAGTAGGCAGTAGTAATGAAAATTAAATGTTCGATCCTGTGTTACATTCAGCATATGACCTTTTTTTAAACTACTATGAATAACGCGAAATAAGCAGTGAAGCACATGTATTAATAGCCACGGTCTTAAATTTGGCTGTTTACAATAATCTCTTCTTAGACAAAGGATTCCGAAAGAGCTACCTGTATAAAAAAAATACCTGAGGACGCGTCATGACAGTGCAGTATGCACGGTGGTATGCGCGCACTAGCGGTCACAGCTTTTGGGATAGCGAACCCACCATAGCTCTTTCATAGCTAATCACAGCATAGAGACTTTGTAGCCAAACTGAAGATATTCACTTATGGGTTACATATTTGGGTTTGCGATATTTCTTGATAAGTATGTAAGGGTTATGCCCCTTCCTCCACAAGATACTTCAAAGCAAAATCGCATTTTATATTTTTTGTCTGAGAAACCTGTCATCAAGTCATTGCATGAAGTGGAATGAAAACCAAGGGGATATATCTGATCAACAAGGACGAAGGAACTGCTCCCATCTATTTGAGTGTTTTGCGACGTATGAATTCGTGATGAATGACCTATTGAAAAAAATGCGAGATGAGAGAAGTGCCCGGCCCCCTAAGTTCACTGAACGGTACTTGAAGATAGCAAGTATACGGGATTTTGGAATCAAGTCGGAGACGATCCCTAGATAAAACAACAAATGTTTTCAACGATTACAAACCCAAAACTTTCTCTGAACTTTACGTTACAAAGTGTACTAGACCTCTTTTAAAACAGAAAATCAAAATTCGTGAAGCTAGTTTTATAAAACGTTGTGCCTGGTTAAAAAATTGAATAGATATCAAACTGTAAAAGATAAATGGAAAAGAGTGATAATCAGTTATGAATAAAAAAGGAGAATTCGGTCACGCTCTCCCATCGGCTCTTACGTACATTCAAGAATGATATATAATCATTGGGGTGTCAATTTCACCGAAAGTCGATCTAAAACCCTAAAACATTTAAAAATTACTCTGAACACCTTACTTTAAGTCCAAACATAGCTGTAACAAATTCTCAGGTCCCCGTGATCGTAGTGTATGGATGACTCCCCAAGTCACAGGGACCTTAATGGACCTATCCTGATTTATAGAGAATCCTAATGTTAGACGTACTAAGGGTTTAGATCAACACCTCATGGTAATGTAATATACTAGATAATGATGGAAAATTTGCTATGTCAAAAAACTAACCGCTCCTTATTTTCTCGTTGCTAAATTCACATTTCGTACGGGTGCGCAAAAAAAAATCACATTCTTTCTCCAACAGCCACTGTAGGTTCTTGCTAGGATTTGGTAAACACCTACTAGTGGGTAACACCAAACACCCTGGACGTGATTTCATTGGTCAATCTTTGATTTATGATGTCACGTAACAATGCTTTTTGACATCATTTTCCATTGTGACGTCATGTTCCATGGCAATTGTTGCCCCATCGGAAACGCACATGATGTATTTTCCAGGGGACAAATTGTAAAAGACACTCGGTAAACCTCGTGTCTTGATACTATCGAAGATTACTAACTTAAATGATAACCATACCGGCATCACTCGTTTGGGAACCCCTATTTTTCCTCGTAAAAATGTTTACAGAGATGATGGAGGGAGGGGTGCTTAAATTAGCGATCATAATGGCAGGATAGTATTTAAGAACATGTTCGTTCCGTTCGTGAAGATGCGATTTTCTATACACCTTTATAATTACTGGTGGGGTGAAGGGCTTTCTGACACATTGCACATACACTTATAAACACTGTTTCTAACTTCCACCTTTCCCGTAGGAGGATCTTCGTGACATGTAACTTCCCCCTTGCCATATTTTCTGTGCAGGTCAACGCTCGAGTCAAACCTTAACTAGTATCTCCACAATATAGGGAAGTAGTGTACATACTCGAACGTAGGGAGAGAAATTACATTTTATCATTTGTGAAATTGATACCTGCATGGTAGTTTTACTTGATTTCATATGTACACACCGGGTATTCCGAAACAATGAACCAGAGCGGGCACAAACGCAGAGTCATTTATCAAGTTGTGCCCGAGATGACAACCCCTATCCTAAAAACGCAGCATTCCTTTAATTCGGAACTATTACTCACAAGTCTTCAGTAGAAGTCACAAATCAGTTAGTAAAATAGTTCAAAAGAGTAAAACTCGTGATGTATTATAAAGGTAAATCTTACTGAAAATAATTAACTAAGTGTTGAATGTTTAATAACGCATCAAATACCTTCATCACTGCCGTATACACGCCAAATTACACTGATATGTACACGAAAGACCAGTTTCGAAAGTAGCCGTGCAACACACTGAAACTGTTGGGTTTCACAATTGCTAAGTTTAAATCTGCGTTACTTGTGCCCGCTCTGGTTCTTTGTTTCGGGGTACTTATTATCGCAAGATATGGGTATGGATAACTCTAATATTATTTAATTATACCGTACTTACCTACGTACTTCGGTACCGACTACATTCTTTGTCGACCAATGAGGCTCATCACTTCTCGGAATTACCACCCTGGCGTTTAGTTTCGGTTTTAACTACACGTGTGTTCTCGTAGCCGACGAGAATATGTATTTGACAAATATCCAATTTATACCTTCAGGAAAGATCACCAATCTTATTGTGCTGTTTTCTATACAAAATAATGGTTTTCGTCCATTTAAGTCCATAATCCATGTATAGGTATATATATGATCGTGTCGTTGCTTACGTAATCTTGTGCTTTGTGCCCTTACAACACAGATCTGTCAACAATGCCAATCTTTCCCAGGGTACTTAGCGATAACACAAAGAAATTTTAAGCGAGGCCGTCGCCAAACATATGTGGGAGTGCACATGTGATGGTGCATCAAGGCCGCGATAGCTTGTGCATTGATATGACTTGACTATAAGGTTTTGCACTGCAAGTGCGACATAATTCGGTATATACTTTTGAATATGAATTTATTATTAATCGTGTGCACAAGTTAAAAGCGAGCTGCAGACGTATACCCTCGATTTTTAAATTAATACAGCTACTGAGTATGAATAATGCTAGAGAGCTATCCAATTTAGGAAAATATTTATATGAAGCTTTTAAGAGGCGTTGATTTAAGGTTGATGTATTGTGGTGTTCCATAACTGTAAGGTGTTAATTAAGTATTGTTATATGCACATTATTGAACGGTGTCTTATGTATACTGTGATGTCACTCTCCTGTCTATTCTAATTGTGTTTAGAGAATGTTATATGTATATATGTATGTAAATATAAGCCTAAGGACTTTTAGCTAATGAAGAACAGAACAGAACCATCTATCATTGCAAATGTCTCATAGACGTCATCACTTTTAGATCCCACTTCCAACCAGCTTCAATCAATATAGCGTCTTATGTATAGGCTTATTTCATGTTTACCACATCGTATTTAATATTGCATTGATGTGGATCAAGAGGCAGCAATGCCTGCGTCCACTAATATCCTATTAAATCCTATTAAATACATAAACCTGGCTATTTTGGAGTATCTATAGTCTCAGTTATCTATCTAAATAACTTTAATAGAAGATTCTCGACACTATATTGCAAACGTTGAAATTTAAAAAACTCTTAACATGGTCCTTTCAGTTTAATGAGTTTTGAATAAAACACATATCGTACAATGTCAAAAAAGTTATACCTTTGTTACAGAAGATGTTTTTTTTATCATTGCTCGAAATTTAAAGTTTTTTACCAAAAATATTCAGATTCAGTTTTTTTCTAAATCCACCATTGATTATGTTGAACTCTGTCCCATAAAGTGAGTTTTTGTTAATTAGTTTTATCTGTGGATTTTTACAATCAGATGATATCATACGGACATAAAACTTGTCAGAGACTCTCTACCCTTCATACACATGTTTACCTGTGACATATTTAGGGTTGTCTGGGTCCGTGTGAACATATATTTTATTTGGATAAAGAGCAATTGAGATATTCTGATCATGTTATAGAGAAAGAAAAATTAAAACCTCTGATATTTCTGCTTACTTGAGAAGTATATTTTTGAAAATGATACCATTTTTGGCCATTTACCGAGCCCCTTAAATCAGAGACATAAAAAGGCTTTGATTATTTCAACATATTTCTCTTTATATGCCATATGCCAATAGCGTGTTATGGGGTTGGATCTGACACAAGTAGAAGAAACCAATTTCAAAGTATATAGTATTAAATATAAAAGTGAATTTGGATTTCTTAACGTCACTCCTTGTAAAGCTGTAAGGACCAAATTCCAATACAGGTAGTTATAATTATAGAATAAACTAGCAGTCTTATGTCTCTTCTTGGGGCTTAAGAAAAACATAGTTAATTGCAATGACACTTGCCCTCGGCTCAGATGAGCTAACTAACGAAACACATAGTCAATACACAAAGATAAAAGACGATAAAAAACATCACAACAACAGGAACTGTCTTTAAATCAATTTAATTAGTTAATGCTGTAATTTATACACTGGTACTCAGAGACGTAAATACTGACGCGAAATAACTAATGACAACTTTCAATATATGAACAATCTTATAACTGTATACATAAATGTTTGTTAATATTGAAATAAACATAAAAGTAAACAATAGTGTAGGAAATTACAAAAACATTCATATGATAAACACAAAGATAAATGTATTTCAGAACAAGGTATCGTATCTCCAAATCTAACATTCTGCAAATTTTGGAGGGTACAGAGAATCATCAAGTATAAATATTTTATTTTCGTATCACTATTTTGAAATATTTCTTCAGCAATTTCCTGCAGAAGTGTTTTTATGCAAATCACATCTTCTGTTGCATAAAAGCAAAAACAATAGCAAAACAACTGCAGGTGTCGAACTCGGGACCTCTGTACCTTTCTACTACCAAGCCTATACTTTACAGATATTGCTATCCTACTATACAGCAATTATAAGTGTGCTGCATCAAGATGAGAGATGTACACAGTAACAATGAAAAAAGAGTAACCAAGAAAAACTCATTTTCGTTGTTTCATCATTGATATAATCATTTATATAAAAGGGAGAATACTCCTGTAGTGGAAATATTCTTCGCGATTGAAAGTGTTGTAGTGGTACCTTTTCGGTAAAAACCCTCAAACCCTATCTCAACACCACATTACCATTGCAATCAATTATTTGCCATTTCATAAACACTAACCGTATATTATTTAGTTTGGTGTAGGAAAAATCGATTCATCACAGTACATCATTATGCTTATTGAGACATTTGGTAATCAAAGCAGCACACTACATTTCAATAAATAAACCTTTCAACATATTATGCATTTTATATTTCCATTATGCCATTGACTGTTTTGAAAGTAATTTGGAACTAAATTCACATATATACAATCACAACAAGGCCACGACGGCCATAGTGGATATTACATTGATTAAAAACAAAACCATTATTCAGCACCAATACAAGGGTAGTCACGCCATATCGAGTGACTTATTTACGCATTGAAATATAAATCCAGAAACTAGCTTATATTTAAAGCTTATATGTGATTGAACAAGTTTGATTCTTGTAACACGTTTTATAATTTGAGATACACATGAGTTGAAATCCTACTGAAATATACAGTTAACTCCCATTAACTTCCAATTTGATATATCAGTAGCACATTTTGGGCTAGGACAGTTCCGTTGGAAAGGTAGCTCAGCTGGTTAGATCGATAGTACCACATTCTAAAGTGCCAGTGTTCGAACCCCGGACTAGAACTTTGCACAATGTGATACATTCAATTTCAGTCGTACAACACTACTTCAATTCGGCAAGTTTGGTTCTTACTCAATATAAATAGCAGTAATCACTGTACCATTGATAAATCAATTATTCAAATAAACCACTGGCAAGTACGATTCAGAATATTCAATTTCAGGTGTAAAACAATAAATTTCTCTTCGGCAAGTTTTGCTCTTAACTTATATAAATAGCAGTAATCACAATAACATTGATACATAAATTATACAAATAAACCACTACTCTGACTACAAAAGGTAGACAGACTAAATGATGAGTTTTCGGGTTGACATTTTTGCCTTTTTCAAGGAAACAGTAATACTACAAGCATACGTTAAAACATCCAAACGCACACACTAATATTACAATATAAAATAATTCAGTACCGACAAATTCAACTGATCTTACTGATATGTAAACCTCACTATAAGCGACACATTCCCCGTAATCATTCTTTAAAAATTGACATATTCATAACCTTATTGACAATATTTTTGCAAACATCGCAATAAGTGACATGTCGATTAATTAATAAGGATTATAGTATCGCAATAATTTACAATTTATCTTCCGATTGCTTATTCTTAACCTTACTGATAATTTTTGCAAAACAGCCCAATAAGTGACATGTCCATTAACCATTAAGAATAGACAAATTCATCTTAAAATTTGAAAATAAGACATCCAAATGTTATTGTTAAATGTTTTCACAAATATCAAAATACATATGTAATTGACATATTCATAACCTTAATGGTGATATTTTTGCAAACATCACAATAAATGACATGTAAATTAATTAATATGTATAGTTCAATTTATGTAACCGTTGTTTTACATGAAACATCACAATAATTGACACATTCATACCTTTATTGATAATATTTTATCAAACATCGCAATAAGTTAATCATTAAGAATAGACAATTCATCTTATTGTATGTGCTCATAAGAGTGTTCAATATTTTCACACATATTACAAAAATCTCATGTTCATTACCTTATTGACAATATTTTTGCAAACATCGCAATAAGTGACATGTAAATTAATCTTTTAAATAACATATCAATAATTGACAATTCGAACTGTATTACTGACGTTTTTTCACACATTGCCATAATGTATACTTCTTAAATGCCACTCATAATTTGCAAAAAGCAGAAAAAAATAGCATATAAAAATAATAAGAAAATAAATAAAATAAAATAAACATCACAAACAGGCAACAGTTGTCGAAATAATATTAGAGGAAAAGTCTTGCAGGAAAGGTGCATGCTTTCAATCCCTTCAGTATCGGATTTTTTGTTCACCAACATGAAGTTTTCGCTGAAGAATGTGAATCATTGCCATGGATTATGTGAACATCGCTCATGAAAAATAGCACATTTCAGCATTAATGTATACTGGAAACCGGAAATAAATTGCAGTTTTATTTGGACAATGCCACATGACATTTTAAGGTAATATATTTTTGACGTTAAACATACATAGTAAAGTATTATGAATTTTGGTGAATACTAAACGCAAAGTTAACTAAAATCAGAGGAGCGAAAAACAAGGGGCACACTGACCTTTATTTGATGTAATACTGTGATACTCCTCGTGATGTATTTATACATAAATTGTGGCGAATATTTGACTTTAGGATTAAAGTAATGGAGCTAACCTGAAAGTTTAGGCAAAATATTGTACAGAAGGATGGGTGTACAGAACGATTGAAAAGGTAGAAGATGAAACATAAAAAATAGCCATGTTGTCTTTTAAACACCGAATAATTATCACAATATGTTTATAACCTTTTACTGAAAAAGGAAAGACAAATTGTCTTATTACACAATGTAGATTTAAAAAAATTACAAAACTTGTGACATCTTATCATATCAGTTTTGACGAACCCTTTTTCAGATATCGTCACAATTATGTCATCTACCACGTTAAACGAGCATCTTTGTGTCCGGTAGGTGCCTCCACAAATTTTGTTTTTCTATGTCTATACATGTTCAGATGTCAACAAACAGAAAATGGACATGGTCACCAAAATACTAGTAATATCTACCCAGGTAATATTTTAAAAATAATTTATTTTTCGATCTATTTTCTCTATTATGTTATTTTTTCGTTCATTCGAAATAATTGATAGATTTTTTTTGATTTTTTTTATATCAAAATCATGGTTTATTCTTAATTTGTGTGAGGACAATTGTCAATTCCTGCTTTTGTGTATAAAAGTGTTGTACAACATATCTACAAGACACTAAGTACATCATATAAAAGATGAAGCAGGCTTGTAAGACTATCCAGAACAGGCATTGTAGCACAAAATACACAACTGTTTTTTTTTAACAATTTGATGCATTCAACTAACACGCGGGATTGCTATGGTTACTCTTGATGCTGGATCAATGCTCCTTGTAATGTAATGATATTTATCAACACAACCGATTCGAAGAGGTTGACCTGCCAATCCTGCAAAGAAACATAATAGTATTCTACACTTTTTTTTCATTTTTAGATTAGAATAATCTGAAAGATTTCCGGACTGATATTCTTGAATCAATTAAGCAATTATTGAATTCAATATGTTCTCTATCTTAACTAACGACTATTGGTAGTGGTGAAAACTGATGAAGCAATGAATTATTTATGATTTAGTGTTAAGTATTAGTAGTGTTTAACTTGTTTTAAATTAAACGATAAGCAACCGAATGATCACTATTGGTTTACGAAGACAGAGTGTAGTCCCTTGTTATTGACCTGTATAACCGTAGCCTCATCAATTTATATTAAAAAAAATCATTGATCTAAAAAGCTATACACAGAGGATCTAACACGAGTTTCCATTCAATATAAGTTATGGAACGAGTGTTATCATTGCTTTTTTAACATGTGTCTGGCGAGCTATGACTGAAACTCGTGATGCGTTTCATAGGTCTCTTATAAGATGTAAACAAAATGAGAATCTGCTTATCACATAACCAAAATCATGTTGCGAACATTATAGACAACATTTTCCAGGTTGACTAGAAATTTAAAATTTATTGATATTCTTACTCCAAGCCTTGCTCTTTTGTGACGTCATAATGCAATTGGAAGTCTTATGCCACGAATTTGTCCTAGTTCTTTTCCCTGTGTGACATCACAATTAAAACAATAGAAATCTACGGCCAATCTCAACTCCGTTATATGTTATTATTTAAATGTGTGTTCATAACACAATTAATGTAATGGACCATAAAGGGTAGTCGTCTGATAGATAGAATTATTGATTATTGTCTACAATAGTTTGATTTCTAAAAGATCATTTTTAAAAGCGGTTGACGTTAGGATGACTGTTTCTCTATGGTGCAAAAATAACTGCCACGTACTTACATGTTACTTTCTCATATCAGTTTCCAAACACGTCCTGCATTCGTTGAAGCAAGGTTTCTAATTCCCTTTTCAAATCCTCTTCCTGACTTATTTCTTTAGCCTGCATCAATATTCATACATCATAAATGTGTTTTGCTTTTTTTGGACATTATTTTGTAGATTTAATATACATACATTTTAAGTTCATTAAAATCGCAAATCTGTTTGTTATTTGAAGTCAAGCATTTGGAACAAGAGGCCCAAAAGGGCCTGTATCGCTCACCTGAAGCAGTCATAGCAAATATTCTCATTAAATATTATATTGTACTACAAATTTGTCACTCGCAAACTTTGTCGGCTCCATATCTATTGAAACTACCAGTCAAATAATATTATAGGATTTTATGCTTTTTGGCAATCGTTCTTCTTCAAAGTTGTTTGACATATTTTTTCCCGTGACCTTATAAGTATGTCAATTCATTTTCCTTCTCAAACATATAGCTCTATCCCAAGAAGCTACCAGCCAAATCTTATAAATCCATTCCTTTTGGTTCTTCAAAACAAATCCTTTGAAATGTTGTTGACCTCTGTGACATTTAAAGTAGGTTTTGAAGTCATTCTAATTTGCAAACTTTGGTGAGCTCTGTTCCAAGAAGCCACAACTGAAAGCAGGTCAAAGTCATTTTCATTCTTAATCTTTGTCTGGCTCTATCCCAGGAAGCCACCAGCAATATAAAGATTCTATACCTTTTGGTTCTTCAGAAATAGTCGTTTGAAGCGTTTGACATATTTGACCCCTGTGACATTGAAAGTAGGTCAAGGTCATTTTCATTCGCAAACTTGGCTCCTACCAAGGAAGCTTTCAGTCAAATATCATGGCTCTTCGCCTGCCCGTTCTTCAAAAGAAGTCGTTTAAATGAAAAGTTGCCGGACGCCGGACGGACGGACGACGCACCAAGACATAAGCTCACTTGCCCTTCGGGCAGGTGAGCTAAATATATGGTTTGAAAATCCGTCAGTATTATTTTGAAATAATTATTGGTCATAACAAGACAACCTGAAAATCAAAATTACAGAATTATGCTTACGTTTGCAGAAAAAATAACGGCAGTTCAATAATGCTTGACCTGCGAGTCTCGATGGCTGAAAGTAATGAGGCAAAGTCACCTCCGTAAAACCAGTTCTAACTTAACTGACTAAATAAATCTAGATACTAGTATCAACAAGTGTGTCCCAATTTGGTTTCTTTTTAAAGCACGTCGATGGAAACTTTTCTTTCAAATGAATCAATAAAAGACTAGCTAATCAGTATCAAAAGACTATAGTTTTTTTTACTCGATTTCAGTCAAGGATATAGTACAGAAGCTCGACTTTAGTTCACTATAAACGCGAGTAGGAGAAACATGATACTGCATACCATTCACTTCGTAACAATTGGAATGGTATGCAAATGTGCTCACCTGCTTCGGAGTTTTCTTTTTCTTGGACTTGTGTTTCTCAATCATTTTTAACTTCTGGCGGATTTCATCTATTTTCGTGGTTGGATCGAGACCGCAGGTTGGCTTTTCCCTACCTCGTTCAAGAGCGTAGGCTGACTTGTCCCGGACACGGGGCGGCAAAACAGCCTTAGGTGTGTCCGATTTTCCAAGGAGATTCTGACGATCATCTGATGATACGTCAAATGCTTTTGGCCCAGCCCATGTGAATCCAAGATAGAAAAATACCCTCTTCTGCCACAGTGACCTCCGTCCGATTGGCATAGACGTTGGAACAGTTAATGTCTCAATGTTTCCGGACCTCGTTTCAATGTTTATCAGGACTTCTAATCCATCCCCAACCAGCGTTCCTTCCAATCGCTGCAGTTTATTCACTACGTTGCGGCCCTCCCAAATTTGATCTCGATTAAAATAAACAGCATTGTGACGACTGTGTAGTTCTTCATAATAAACTATTTCATCACTGGCTAAATCTTTGCCGAGAAAAAACAGAGTTGCCTCTTTCTGTCTATGTGGATTTCTGTCATCTCTTTGACGTGGATGCTTCTTCAGAAAGGCACATTTCCATCGTCCCATGGCGTCGCGTAGTGTTCCTATAGGACAAAGATCCCTCTCTTTTCTGTTCTGAGTTGGCCAATGAAACATCATTAAGAACAGGAATACTTCCATGTAGACAGAACCATTCTTTGAACTGCATTCGACGTCATACAGTCGTTTTGAAAGTTCTAAAATCTGAGGAAGTTTGGAAGTAACACTTTCTTTCAGATAGATTATCCTCCTCACAATTGCCACACTGATTAAGATTATAGTGTCGAATGGTTCTGAGAAAGAAGAGCAGACGTTCTTCATTAAGTGATCAAACATGATGTCCAAATGTTGCATATCGTCACCGATCTTTCGCCTTATCCGTAAAAGTGTTGTCAGTGATCTTCCTCCAAGTCTTCGGACTCTCCTTCGCCTGAAATCAGCGGTTTCCTTTTGGGTAAGATGTGCCGGTACTTCGTCACTCTTCTCGCCAAAAATGTTGTCAACACTTTCCTGCAAAGCCGCTAATTCTTCCAGGTAGCCATGCTTATCTCTGACTATATTTATTGAACTGGTTCCCTTAAGCTGAGCTGATTTTTCTTCCATCTTTCGCATCGCTGTTTCTGTGTAGCCATGCAAACGCTTCAGGACTTCTCGGCTTTCGTGATTGATTTGTTCAAACGCTGAAGCCTGGAATTGCCCGTTTACAATGTATGAATGCAGCATACTGTCTTCGAAAGGGGAACATTGCAATATTTTGACCAACAAAATTATTAGTCTTACCTCGCCAAAATAGCCTGCGTCATTTTGTGAAGCATGCTTATCATGTTCACTTTCTACTTGTTCTCTGTGGAACTTTTCGATACCTTTCATCGCAACCTGGATGATGTCACATGTATCATTCACCGACAAAACGTCGTCAGTCAACATACATGTTTTATATTTTTCAAACAGCTGAGTTTTGAAAATCTGACCGTATGTATCCCAAAAATAGGAGTTGTTGGGTCTGATTTGTGTAGCCTTGATTGCAAATTCAGTCGCTTTTTCCCAGTTTTTGCAGTGTATGTAAAGCCTTGCAATATGTTGGATGATTCTCGGATCATCCGTTGTCTCAAAGCCTTTCTGCAAGATTGACACTGCCTTTTCTGTATCTTCTTTTTGAAGCACTTCTGTCAGAAGTCGGGAAAATTTCTCCTTTTTTCCATTGTCCAAAATCTCCCGTTTCATCAATAAATCGTTGACAATACGGATGACTTGGTCCACTGATCTGTTCTGCCGATTGAATACTCGTGACTGCAAAAACTGCATCAGTATTGAGCTTATACTTTTATGTGATATTTCCTGTAGGTATTTGAATATTTCGCTGGCAAATAAAGGGCTGGCTATGGACAAAGCCTTCAGATTGTTTCCTTGACCGCCTCTTGCAGATATGTTCAGAAGAACCATTAGTTCTGTACTGATTTGTTTCTGCCATTGTCTCTCACTGTTCGCAAAACGATGCTGTAGAGCTAATCCAAAGTTCAGTACTTTGCTTTTACCCCGTTTCACCTCCATTAGGGCATCAAACGCGCTGATGGGGATCGGCTGGAAATCTATATCAAAAGTGTTTATCAGTGACAGAAACAGCAGTAAATCCTTTTCTTCTTGTGCCTCAATACCATCAACGAACTGCTTCACAGCACTTTGGATGTACGAAAAGTTGAAATTTTCTTTAAGGATGTTGAAAGATATGAGCAGCTTTGGATCGATGCCTTCATCTTTCTCGAATCGGTTTTTCAAAACACCAGCCTTCCTATTAAACCAATCAAGCTCCTGGTCATCTAATTCTTGCCGAATTAGAACGGTTTGATCTTTTATGTAATTTCGAGGTAGACTGGTTCTACGTGAACAAACGAGAAGGACACAGAATGTTTCAATAGGTTCCTCGGAACGGATCGATGCCTCTATTGCCCTTCTTTGCAGATAGGATTGCAGATTAACCAAAATCTCTTCGTCGCAATTATCGAGTAAGACCAGTGGAGGACGAGGAGAATTGGACTCTTCATAATTTCGCAGTTCCAGTATTTGGTCACATGTTTGATCTGTGATTCTTCTTGCGACACAACATCGATACTCTTTTCGCAAATCCCACAAAATCTGTCGGGCCGTTGTTGTGCCTCCAGATCCAGGTTGATGTATTAGTGTTACCACAGGAACTTTATCCTCGTCACTCTTTTCCCCTTTTAATGCACACCTGACGTATTTCATCAATGTGTCATGTTGTGATCTCCGACAAACGTGATCCTCTTTATACCAGTAGTTCAACCAGCTTGGCTCTCCGCCATGATAGAATGTTTCCTGTACATCTCTGTAGTGCTTCTGCTTCATGACTTTGTCTTTCAATATGTCACTATTGTCGCATTCTTGTTGACTTAGAATATCTAGGTCACAAAGTTCATTTTTCACTCTGTTTCTCAGCGTACAGAATCCCCCATTTGCAAGTGGTATTTGGCAAGCAGAATCTTGGAGCGGTCCTACAACTTGACGAATCATCGTATTCATCTGCTTCCACGTCATTCCTATGATACATCTCTCGTTGATGATCGTTTTGTCAACACTATTTCTGCGAATCAGTTCGGATATCCAGTTCGTAGCTATATCGTCTGAGGGTGCAAGCAAAATCCACTGTCCATGGAATTTTGAGAGGACGTCTTCGGCGGCTTCCAGCATGACGTCATAGTTTTTTGAAAGCAGCAGAAAAATTGCGACTCCTCGTCCTGTTGGAATATCATTGTAACAATATCGCAAAGCTTCTTTGAAGCCCTGGCTTCTTGTCTGCTTCCAATTAAAAGCGTTCATGTCTTCTCGTCGCATTCTGTCATATCCATTTGCAAATACCCAAGTTTGCATGTAAGAGTTCCGAAGATCATCCATTAGACGACCATGTCTTTCGGCGTCTTTTTTATTTTCCTCGCTTTCTTTATCGAAGTTGTCTGTAGTCACTATTTTCAGTGCTTGCTCTTTTGTTTCCTCTACATAGTAGTGTAGTGATCCTGGTCCAGTTGAAGAATTGAAATCAAACACTGCATATGGCTGTAAAAGCTGAACAAATTCAAAGCAGTTTTCAGTCACTTCCTTTGCTGAGTTCTCATCACACCGACCTGTAAAAATAACAGGGTAAGTTTCTTCTGTTAGTTTTGGTTCTCCACAAGAAAAGACGTTCAAAAATTTTTGCCGTAGGTCCTGTTGAATTTTTTTAGGTTTAGGCTTATTTTCCTGGTTTTTGCGATGGTCGTAAAGCCTTCCCTTTAGCTTCATGTATTGACGCATTTGGTCCTCGTTTTGTTTCGCTGGTATGGCACTGCCCTCTGTGAAGCGATAAAGCGTGGGCTTGATGTTACCTCTTATATTTGTTCTTATAAAAACAGCTTCATCTTCCAATAAAGCAGCATGGGGAACAACGTCAACTTCAACTACGACGCATGCAAGATTTTTGCCAGACTCAGCAACATGAATAAACTCAGGAGGTCGAATGCACTTCCATGCCATTTCCATTTGATCTTCGAACATCTTTTCTCGCAGAATCCTTTTAATTGCTTCATTGCACCTGTCTTTGTCAACTGAGACGCCAACAATTTCTCCTTTCATTTGAATGTCGTCATTCACACCCTTGACGCCAAAATGGATAGTTCCATTCGTTCTGTCATTCATACACGCTGCAGCAAAAGTAATGGTCTCAGAAGCCAACCAAGATGTAATGTTTTGCGCTCCATCATCAGGACAGTTGATGAACCTATGAACTGGTTCGATTAAATTATGGACTCTGTGGACATCTGCGGAAAGAATAGCTCCTTTTCTGTACGATCCTAGCACACCAGCAGATGTATCGAACTTTCTGACTGATTCCCGGATTATCGGTTTGGTTTCATCACTTACATCTGGACACGGGACGCTGGTCTGAGAGGCTTCCTCATCGGAAATGAGTTTATCTTTCAAAATCAATATCGATTTTTTCTGTCCGTATGACAAATCCGTTATGGCCGATAAATCTTCCATCTCAAAATGTTTAAACACATGTCCACCGATTTCGTTCTTTTCAAACATTTCCAACGCATGAAGACTTATGTCACTTTGTAGAAACTTTGGCTCCAAAAATTTACACAGATCGGTCACGTTTAATTGGTCCAAATGCGTTTCTGGCGGATGTTTATTCTTCTCATTTGCTGCTGTTTCAGATTAAAAAATGAAAATACAACAACATTTCGTAAAATTAATGTATATGTATTTTGGTTTTTGCTTTACTTCTGTCCAGAAACTCCCACCATTTTTTTAATTTTTTTTTAAATCATGAATATTAATGTGAACACGTTCATGGTACATAAGCAAACACACATTTATCTTGTAACATTTTAAAAAGCAGCTTTAATTTGAAGGGAAATACTCATAATATACTGAAAAACTTAAATGATTTCGATTCTTTAAGTGAAAAGAAGTGACATTATTACATCTTTTCAAAGTTATCAGAATGCTACTTACGATTTGCCTCGTCAGACAATGCAAATGCACCTCCATTATCATCAGAATCGTCACTGTCGTGATCTTTCTTTGCCAAGTTCTTGAAAACATGTCTAAGAGTGTGAAGGACAATGATTTCTTATAATTATTTTTGAAAAAGCTATCCAAATGGTCACAGAAACTATTAATAGCAGTATGTATCAGAACGATATCTATGCTGCAATATGACCGGTGTACATTGCTCTTTACTCGTTTGTACGATACTCTTGCATGTATCTTGCATGGATACATTTGAACTGTTTCAGGGGTTTATAAATGCCAAAATAGGCACCTCTAAATACAACAAAGGTCGTTAAAATAAGGCTGCATCACGGATTAAAAAAAAAGATATTTATTACATTCGGCATATGTAAGGATGCTTTAGAAATTCTTTTCTTATTTCTGTTTATTTAAACCTATCATGACATAGTTACGATTGGTAAGAAAGGATACATCTTCCGCTTTCCTCTCTTTGCTTTTTTGTAAACAACCTTTGGAAACGTCTTTTGGACAATTCTTGGAATGTTCTCCACTCTGATCTTTTTCCCATGGCAGGAAATCTGTCTTTTTAAAACGGTTTCTAAAGTACTAAACTCTATCTCCTTTCCTTCAGTTTCTTGAAACAGATGCAAAAGTTTCTCTTTCACAAACTCTTCGGCAAAGTCGTAATCTGAAAGAGATTAATTGAAAGTCAGGAGAATGGCAGCGTTTCAATTAAAATATGTAATATTGACCTCAGAAATATAATTCAGGTACCTAATCGAGGTTTTCTTTATATTGCTTTTTGTAAAAGTGGACCGTCTCGCGTGTGGAAATATTCTCGTTATGACCTTTTGAACTGATCGTAGTGTGGAAAATGTTAGCAATGATTCAGAAATCCATATAATCTTTATATCAAGTATCGACATTATTTATAAATACATATATATATTCACGGTGTGGATAATTTCGCGCTAACTTACTCGACGCGAACCACGCGAGCATTTTCATACTGCAAAAAACACTTTTGCATTACTAGAAACAACAATAGGTCATACCATACGTGACACACGTTCCGAATGTAACTGTTTCAATTATTCGTTGTATATAAGGATGCAAAGAGCATAAAACTGATATCGCACATTCACATGGAAAAATTGGCATACTGAAAAAGTGTAACATTTTCTTACCATCTTCATCACTTGGAATTATACCAGCTTCGGTTTCACCGTCATCTGATGATTTCCTTGTCAAATTGGTAAAGATACATCTCAAACGGTTAAGAATCTATATTTTAACTTGCAACTAGTTAGCATGCAATACTGGTTAAAATGTATGTTTGAGATCGGCTAAATGTTTTACATAGGTTCACTACACCTTATTTTTATCTAAGCAATTAAACTAAAAACAAAACATGAAATTATTGCTCCTTATATTCCATAAACGAACGATACATATTTCTCAATATAATGCATTTTTTCCACATGAAATTCTAGTAAAATCAAATTATTTTTAGACTATAATCAACATTTGCAACGAAATGGGCTGTAATTAGGTACTAATGATAAATAATGGAAACATCCTATAATATGTAAGACAGTGGGTATCAACAGAGAGCAGCACTTTGGTCAAAAGTATATCCGAGGTCAAATCTAACTATTTGGATAACACCGTGCATTGATTGACGGAGGACTGTGAAATTGTAGATAGTGCTATAGGGCTATCCATCTAGTGGCGACCAGGTCAGTTATGGATGACATAGAGATAGGAAAGAGAGTGTGAACTCCCCAAAACAGGGGAAACTGTCATTGCCATATGGTATAGTCCGTAAAAATAGTAGTTATTCTCTTTTAACCTTGAGCATTTTAAACAAGAATGCCAACAACTGGTTCATTCTTGTCAGTATCTAGTATTGTTGTTTTAGAAGAGGAAAGTTATCTTAGAAGTTAGAATAAATTGCTGCACGTGCCTCATTACTTATGTGCAATAGGTGGTACCTAATAATGACTAGTTAATGTTGTATAGGTTTTATGAGGAGTAAGGAGTCCAGAGTCTAGAGTTGAGAGTCGGGATTCGAGGTTTAGGAATGTGAGCCTCTGGAGAGAGAGGCCAAATAAGGCCTCGACCGGAGGGGCCTGGGATGGCCCGGGTCCAGTTTGGTGTGGTTTAGAACTATGTGTTTGATGTGGTAAGTCTATATAATCTGTGTGCATGTAAATTTGCTGTCGTGTTCCAGAGCTATTGTAAAAAGGACATTTGTCAAAATTCCACATTAGAGGTTCTGTGAGTTGTGGTATACTTTTAAAAGTAAGTGAAGTAATGAACTGTAGACATTTGTTTTCTGTATTATTGTTGAATGAAATACTAAAAGCATCGAACTCGTGTGCATGTATTGAGAACATACCTAAAACAGACCGCATTATACACAAGGCTTATCTAAATATTGCTTTCCATTTTCCAAAATGTACCTACGTTTGTCTTGCCTACCCTAAAAGTTTTTTATGAGTAATTTAAACAATAAGCCACATATATTTTATTTTTATTTATCTTTTATGAGTTCAAAACGAGTACGAGACAACTCTTTTAACTGTGTTTTTGTATTTCTGATGCAAAAAAATGTGGCAAATGAAGTTTCTCATAATGAACAGTTTCTACGTAGATTCTAAATGACGTTTTTTTGGAAAATATTGTATATTGTTTAAATATTTATTACCATATTTCATATATTTATAAATGTTTACATTTTGATCTGATCGACAACATGAAAAAGGATACATAGACTCCAGTTTCTCACGTCGCACGGTTTTGTATTGGACCGTAGGGAAAGTCTTCTGAACGATGCTTTTGAGTAGATCTTTCTCTGGTCTAAATTCTTTACCATGTAAACAAATTTCCTGACGTATATCATCTTCCAGCGTGGTATACCTAACCCTTCCGTCTTCTGACTCTCGGAAAAGGATCAAAAGCCGTTCTTTCACAAAATCTTCATCTGACTCTTGTTCTGTAAAGAAAAGAACATCGAAGCAAAGTTTTAGGGGAAATATCACATGTGCAATTTTGCATTATTATGGTACACGAGATATCGAATAGAAACCTAAAAATTAAAATATTGTGCTTACCCTTTCTAAGAGTTTCTTCATCTATGAAAGTAGACTCCAGTTTTTCTTTGATGTATTGGCAATCTTCTACTTCCAGTACTCCTAGAAGTTTCCTGTAGACGTCCGGTTTTCGTTTAATAATTGAGAGTAATTTGCTGATCTGTTTCCGTGTTGTGACTTCAGCGTTGATTCGCTCTCGGTCATCATCAGAAATGACACCCTCCTCATACAAGCGTGGAAGTATAACGTTTACTTGTAGATTATCTCTTAGGTACGTCTCGTTTTTTCTAAGGACTAGCTTGTGTTTGACATCCATTATATTTCTGAAACAAACATATTTTTTCTACAATATTGTTTATTTTGCAACAATTATGAAACAAGCTATTTCGACTTTTATTTCACTCTTGTTGGACCGAATGGAAGTGTGCGGGGGTCTTAATGGGGGAGGAAAACGTAATACCTGGAGAAAACTCACGTGGTCGGGTAGGTGACCCGATACCTTTTTATGTCTTTATCTATGTCCGATCGGGGAATCGAACCCCGGCCGCCTTGGTGAAAGGCGAGTGCATTATCAAATGCGCCACCCGACCACCCATTGTAGTTATAAAATTATAATATTTAATCACACGGACTCTTCACAATCAGGCACAGAATACAGCATATAAAGGCCAGGACGAACTTTTCGCCATGAGTTCTAACAACGTCTTCCTGCACATTTGATTACATTCAAGCACTCTACAATTCAATCCCCTGTCGCCTGTTGATAATAATAAGATCAAAAGCCCTCCTCAAAAAATATTAGGTATTAGATCATTCTTGAAACGTTTCCTTGTTTACGTCCGCCATCTTGAAAAATCGCGAAAAGGAGGGCCAACAAACAATGTGTGTGTGCTGAAGAGATTTCGTGCATATTTACTTAATAAGGTCAAACTGATTCATTTACAAAATGATACTCTTTGAAAATTTTAGGGCTCATGTCCTTCATCAGTCGTCTTGAGAAAAACTTGTAAAGTCCATTTTAAATGACTGCATACCGGCCTACACACTATTTGATGACGTCAGGTATAATATGACGTCGTCATAGGTACAACGAAGTCCTATATGACGTCACAAACTAGACATCCGTGCAACAAAGGTGTTCCATACCTTCAGTCTGTCCCAGCCTAAAAATGACCCGTATCAGGTATGAGAGTCCTTACCGTTTGGATCCAATGCTACTTTATTTTTATGTTCCTTGTTTTATCTGCTGTAATTGTCATTTGCGATATTTTCGAAAGTAGCCTTCTGTGAATATCTAACATGTTGTTCATACTTGTTATTTGTACCGGGTGGTCGGGTGGCGCTGTAATGGGTTTGCGCGGTGAGAGGATTATTTAGAGATGATTCGAAACAGATTCACTCTTCAACTTTCCATTTTATTCCCGGAAACAGGAAGTAAACAACAAAACATAGAAACAAGATACGAAGACGGAATAACATAGTACACAAAACGTTCAATTCCGGAGAAGTCAGCTTCCAAATGTGGTCCCGGAGACGACACAGAATGAGATGTTACATGGTCAACAATAGTAGTGTGTGGCACTGGGACAAAACTAGTTGGTTTTTGATGTTGAACCTTAGGTTTTACATCAAATTTCTCACAAACTGGTTCCACACTCACAGTATTACAATGTTGATCCTGTTGAGACATCGGTTTCTTTTCATGGGAAGACCTTTTCCTCTGCTTCCACTACCTCCTTTGTTTCCTGTCATAACGGAGTTGGGACGGCGACTTGTACTTCCTGGTAACTTGACCAGGAGGCGCCCGCAAACTGTCACTTGCTTTTGAAGTATTGACTTATGCTTTACGATATGGCATGCTCATTTTTGTCCATTTAAATATAAGGGAAACACTGTCCGTGTTCTCACTCAAAACAAAAGAACAGTCTTAATGTGCGTGGTCCAAATCGTACGTTTTCAAAATTTGCAACACTTTATCAAGAATCATAGTGGTGAGTTGATCAATTTACAAATAAGTCACATCAGTCATCACAGCTACAATACATGCAACACAGGACAGAAAGTCATTCAAGAAACAAAACATAAAAAACATCTGCCTGACAACCGACACACGTTGAAATTCCCCGGAGGCTGTCGTAACGCATGCGCAGTTAGACAGAAACGTGATCTGTCAGAGGACAATAGAAGATGGCTACTGGCGAACGCTTTGCCTCCGTTACATCTGAAAATTACCAAAAACTAATCGAGGATAAAAATGCTGTTAACACGGTGTCATACATGCTTCATTATGAAAAAAACCCTTGACGGTGTCATCGAAAGCTACGATGCCAAACTGTTGGATTCAATCCTGGCTTATTTTTACAGGGAGGCAAAAACATGAAGAAGAAAAAGTCAGAACCTGGTGAATATGATGTGATATGAACCTGAATAAATGATATTGACCGATGCGAAGCACTCGCCTTTCACAAAAGTGGCCGGGGTTTGATTCCTGTAGTATATTGATTAACGAGTGACTCTAATCCGGATATTATGTCCGCTCGCCTCCGGGCATTAGTCAAACCTTATAGAGCTATTCGAAACTCCCCGAGCGTATTATGTATTGTTACAATGCTATGCGAGAATGATCGAATACAGGAGATTTTGTACCTCCATTTGTGATTTTGTTTATGTGTATTGGAACCCGGCAAGTTTGGAAATATCTATGCGATATATTACAATTCCCAAATCCGACATGAAAAGGTATGGGGTCACCTGCCCAACCACGTGGATTTCCCACCCGAGTACCCCAGTTTCCTCTCGCATAAGACCCTTAGATTCTTGTAATCCTTTGTAAAACAAGACTTTAGTCTGACACAAATGACTGCAAAATAAAGACATAATTTACTTGCGTTTTCAGAACTCACCATGCGCCTACGTCATTCAAAACGGAGAACAGAAACGGTATTTCGTCGGCCATGTTGGTTGTAGAGTCGCTTCATCCGCTCTGTATAATATAAGATAAAAAAAGATAAATTTTATTAAAAGACGGTGGGCATTTTAAAACAAATAGCATAAGCTCTATGGAGCTTTTGACCGACATAACGCCATTATCACAAAAATCCAACATTCTATTCCCTAAAACAAAGTATGTTAATCTCATCAGATGTTCGTTACACACACACACACACACACATACACACCCACACCCACACACAACTACACACCCACACACCTATACACACACACCTACACACACACACACACACACACAGAGTTGAATACATCTTTAAAAAAATTGCAATAAATACAGTATGTCGAAAATGAATTACACTAAATCATTCTCCTGTCCCTCTAGGACTGGTCGGTGATGCTAGGGGCCAAAAAGTTGGAAATCGAAAGTGTCAACCGTTAAAACAGAAGGGGAGGTGCATAAACCCAAAAATCAACGAATTTCAAAATTCAGAGGAGTACCTGTTAATTGCAACTTAATTAGTAAAGTGTGTATATTACGATCCGTGCCACGGATGAGGCACGGTAGTACAGTGGTAGGACGCCGGGCTCGTGACCGAAGGGTTGCGGGTTCGCGCCACGGAACGGCAATGTGTTGTATCCTTGAGCAAGATACTTTCCTCCGCTTGTTCCAGTCTACTCAGCTGTAAATGTGTACGTGGTTGGGCAGTGCTAGAATTGTTGAATGCTAGCTGTTAGCGCCGAAATGGCAGCTCCGGCTGTAAGCTCCCCAGGGAGTTGAGAAATGTATTGGCTGGTTGCAAAGGCTCTATAACCACGGATAATAATTTGTGAACCGCTTTGAGACGACCTACAAACTAGGATGTGATAAAGCGGTATATAAGAACCTCCAATTATTATTATTATTATTACTCAAAAGAGATAACTGTGGCTATAAGATTACGGCAAGATTAGAACTACAAAATAACATGAGATTATTAATAAAGTGTTTTACAATTTGTATTGAAGCTACATAGCAGAATAGGATAAGCTATGCTGACACAAAGCAGATAATTATGTTATTTATATTTAACTTGCTCGAAGTTTGCTAGTAACCTTTCACACGACCTCAGATATCAGTAAGGAAATCTGTATATGAAATATCAATTTACAACGAAACGAGGACATGAAACCTTTTAAATGAATAAGTAAAGAGTTCTGCCTTCTTTTCCAAACCTAATTGTCTTAAACTTGTAAAAAAAATTACTTTTAATTAAGTTATCGGTTTATTCAGAGTGTACTTCGGTTTTCGGTCCATACATCCATAGACCAATGTAATATCTAGTTCAATCCTTATAATTTAATTCTGGAATTATAAAGGAAAACTTTTCTCCATAAAATATGTGGCATTTTCGTTTACAAGAAAAAATGATATAATTGCTGTGTTGATCAATGGTGTTAAGACGAGCAAATCTAGTTCAGCCGCAGCTTTCAACATGATCGTCTTACTCTCTAAAATAATGACGCTAACACACCGCTATCCCGATCTGTTCGGTACCGAGTAATCCGGTTGGTGCGGAGCAAAATAAGCTACAAATGTTGAAATATTTCAAAATGATAATCACACAGTGCCACACTTAATATAACTTTTTTTCTGAAAGTATCGCGATCTTGTTGTATGATGCTGCGAAACAGAAGGAAGCTATGAAAATTATGATATCTTTTCTACAGTATTTGCAAATATGGAACGGTCTGATTCATTTTATTTCATATCAAAATTTAGTTATTTTTCAAGCAGCTACAGTTTCACAAGGATCCGTTCAGTACGGAGTCAATTTTCGAAATGATCTGGTCTGTACGGAGAACACGATCCGTCGGTACGAAGCAAAACCGCTGACTACACGTAATGAAACCCATATATACATTGTGAATAAGAACTGTTGAAAAACACTGTCGTGTCAGATATCGGCCCTGTATAACACACAAGACATGTTGTACACATAATACACTCAACAAAGGCGAATTCACGAGGAAGGGAATTTGTTTGATCTTAGGGTCAGTTTTATTGTGAATATGAACTGTTAAGAACACTGTCGTGTAAGATATCGGCCCGGTATAACACACAAGACATGTCGGACACATAATACACTAATCTTAACTTAAGATCGCCTTGTTATTACTATAGCAATATTCTGTATGAAATTAACCAGTCAGTATAATAATAAACAATTCACTTTTGTTTGTGTGTCTTACATTCAACAGTCAACAAATCCTGCAATGGTTTTTAAATGTGCGAAAAAAGATATAAACAGTGTTGTAGGTACCCACAAATATATCTTAATATATATTTACATTCTGTATGCTTAGACCCATTGACAAAAATTACATTCATAGATGCATAACACAGGTGTTCATAGAATCTCAGCACGTGGGAACTGACAGTAACCTGATCACACTGCTAGTAATACACTACAAAAACTACTCACTCGGAACGACCGACCTAGATGCTTAATTCTTACATCTTAAAATATTATTGAACTGTGCTTTGTGAAATATCCACGTATTCACGTGTCCTGTGCTACAAATAAACATTGAATATGGAACTACATTTTGTTGTGTTATTGTTGTTAACAGTAGCTAAGATCTCTCACGATAGTGTCACATTTCCCCGCGAAAAAAACACTGTTCTCGCCACTGCGTTGCACCCAGGGAACACGCAGGGAACAAACCCTGTTTATTTGTTTTATTCGTTGTTATATCGATCCTGAAAGGATTCGTCAATGTAAATATAAGGAATGATATTTATTTTTTCAACATTTATGAGGTCATAACAACAATGGGTTTTTGGACATATTTTACATGAATCGCTAACGCGATTCATTCAATATGTCCATAAACCCATTGTTGTTATGACCTCATAAATGTTGAAAAAATAAAAATCATTCCTTAAATGAATGTTGTTACATTAAAGAATACAGTAAGTGTGCATATTTGAATGTTACCTGCATACATGTCTGTATAAAGACAAGGTCCAGGAGGCCTTTACAAATGTTTTAAGTTGAACCACAGGTACTCGCCTCGTCTGTCAATACACCTACAACTGTATATTATTATATTATAGGTGTACTAACAGACTAGGCTAGACAGTCGTATTACGTATACATACAGGGTTGCGCATGCGTGTTAGAAATATTTTAATCAATCCCCATTGATACAAAAAAAGTAACATAATGCTCATCCCACTACTATTTATACATAATCTACCTTATATCATCGGTGCTTTCTCTATTTTGATACTCTGCACCACAGAGGACTCTGAAATACCAGACAACCAATTCAAAATACCAGAAAACCAATTCAATTGTTTTAGCTCCAACTACCAAGGCGAATAACAGAGAGGTCCCATACACTATTACTTATGCAATCATTGCCCTAGACATTGCATTCAAATTTGTAATAATTTGTTCACTAGTCTTAAATTGAGATCGCTGTATATACTAAACGCCTTACCTGAGTGTCATTTTGCTGCTAAACAGAGCGCCGAATGGCGACCCACATCAGAGATCAGTTTCGTTTTCCTGTCAATCTCGCAGTAGACGAGAATCTCATCTACATAATTCCCGAAATCTCATAAATCTGCTTTCGCTTTCGATATCATAATAACTGATAGGTCTAAATATGTTGTTGTTGTAAATATTATAGACATTATTCTGATTCTATTCAATGTGTACGTCTATTAATTCTGCCAATGTCAACCAATACACAGAATCAATTATAATGATATATATCCCATAACTAAATAACAATATTATATAAAAAAAACCTGAATTAATTATTTATCCGTCATTACTTCTTCTAATGTCATACAATACACCGAATCAATTATATATAGCCCAAGCCATTACTTTTACCAAAATAATAAAAGAAGCTGAATTAATTATTTATCCCTCATTACTTCTACCAATGTCATACAATACACAGAATCAATTACATGTTTTCCATTATTTTTACCATGTTAATCCAATAACTGAATCCTACCTATGTCATACAACATTACAGAATCAATTATATTTACCCCATTACTTTTACCAAAATTATACAATAAACTGAATCAATTTGATATCCGTTATAACATCTACAAATATTATACAATACTCAGAAACAATTATATACTACTTCCAACAATATATACAATGTACTTGTTACACAATATACAGAATCAATTATATATATCTCAATGCATCGAACCAGTATTATAGAATAAACAGAACCAACAATGTATCTCCTCTAAGTTCTACCGGGGTCTTCCCTGAACACCAACTCTGCTTAAAATCACATGTTTACGTAGGTGGTCAGTTGTGATGATAGTGAGTTATAGTCTATTGCAGAAATAGTGTACAGGTAAATTGCACAAGTAAATCAACTTCTGATAAGTAATCAGATAATCAAAAACTTATTGATATTATTATCTGCTATTGTGTGCTTTAATACATAGATATTACTAAACATTTTCTTCAGGTTGGTAAGTATGGATTATGAGAAGTTCTTTTTACACAACCAATACAATTTTCTATGTGACGTTTCGATGACTAGTACTATATATCCACTGTCACCTTCATCAGACAAATGACCAATAAAGCGTATGCACACAAAGGTGTAAAATGTGTACGAGTTGTCCATAAAATCGATGTCGATTTCGGCTACGCTGGAAACGTATGTACAATAGTTGTTATATATGTACCGAAATGACTCAATTCAGCTACGCTTTCTTAACACTTGGTCATAGATGTGCGAAAAACCATGTGATTGACTGGGATAACTCCAAAGTTTTGGACAGAGAGAGAGCATTCTGTTCAAGCGGCAGATAAAGGAAGCCATCTGGATACGCCGCAGTGGGCCAGTTCTAAATCGAAACGAGGGGGCTCAAAGACTCTCGCACATCTATGACCAAGTGTTAACAAAGCGTAGAAGACGTCTTGTTCCAAACCCTTGAAGTTGCTGATGATGCTGACATACCACATCCCGTGCTGCTTTTCACAGACTACGTCACAGAGCAATCGGTAGAAGGAGACCGACCAACCTGGAACCACTTCTCAACAGAAGGGCCTCGGACTACCAACCATCTGGAAGCTTGGCACGGTAAACTGAAGAAAAGAGTACTGCATGCCAACCCCAACATCTACACCATCATCCAGACGTTTAAAGACGTACAGAACGTGAATGACATCAACCGGATCCATAGAGATGCAGGAGGCACTACTCAACACCGACAGAAGAGATACGCCAAACATCGACAGACGCCTGGCCACCCTGAAAGACCGTTATCAGACTGGAACTATCGACCTGATGACCTATGCCGATTCAGCATCACAGCTTCTGCATCTTGGATAGAATGTTTTGTGTTAGAGACTTACTTGATATATATAGAGAATGTGATTTGTGCTAGAATATTTAATAATTAACTTTTAGTGCTGTATTAAATGTGTATTATTGTTATATGTGTAAATAGAAACTTTATTTTATTGCTGACATTAGTATCAATGTGGCTTAAATTAAGGAATTTTATTTTTCATATAATGTAATGTTATTTTTATTTTTCATATAATATAATGTTATTTTTATTTTTCATATAATGTAAATATTAATATTTAATAATCATTTTCTATTACTTAGTGCTGTATTAAATGTTTATTACAGTTATATGTATGAATAAAAACTTTTTATCCATTTAATTATTGACTTTAGTATCAAATCTACAAAATGAGTTGACATTCTTAGTTGAAACGGGCTATAACTAAACTTCAAAGGATTTCATATATAAACACCTTCCTTTCAATTCTCCAGAGTTGGTGTTCGGGGAATGAGCCGTTCTACCAATAGTACAAGGAATCAATGATATACACAATTTTGTATTACCAACATTATATAACATACAGAATCAATAATATATTACCTATAATGTTCAAAACAGTCCATAGCATATCTTACCTTTCTATTCTAAAGATCCAATTTCAACTTGTGTTTGAGAAAACTTAATTGGGTTTGAGATCTCTGTTGCCTCTTAGTATTTACGGTAGAAATAATGTTGAAATATATCTCACTTTCTATTTAACCATATTCTGTTCGATGCATCTTTGAGCCAACGTTACACATTATGAAAAATAATAATTACTGACACTGAAGTAAACTGGCAAAGTAAATGTCAGTCACCTGGCCAGACATTAACCTGTGGCTAACACAGACCGCAGTGTCCACACCCACTCAAGCTATTCTGTACTAGGACCATTCCAGACGGATTCCATGCAAACCAAGAGTTATGATAACATTTGAAATACATTATTATTACTTAAAAACATATATAAAAAAAGAAAATGGAAGAAGTGACCATCATCCACAAGGGGAGAGCCACACTCAGGAATGTCTACCACGTAAGTGGGAATATAGAATAGCAAAATCTAATTCAAAACCTTACGTGTAGCCATACTGGTGTAGTTTCTTAGCTGACATAGCAAAGTGTTTACTTATTTTATTACACTGATTTTTAGAAATATTGGCGTATAATATAAGAAGCTGAGCAATCATGATCTGCACGTTAAAGCTACAGTAATAGGAAACAATCTGGTTTTATGATTCATCATTCCACTGTCCATCAGCTAATAGAAATTTACCATAATATATGTTGTTCATTAGAAGAAAAAAAGCATACTTGTCTAATTTTTTGTGATATATCGAAGGCTTTTGACCGAGTTTGGCATAGGGGTCTTTTACATAAATTACATGCTTATGGTATTAGAGATGGTTTACTACATTGGTTTAAAAAATACATTTCAAACAGACAACAACAGGTTCTTGTTAAAGGTGTGTATTCTAATATAGGTTACACAAATGCTGGTGTACCACACAAGGAAGTGTGTTAGGTCCTCTGTTATTTTTGGTTTATATTAATGATATTGTTGATAATTTAAATTGTATTTCACGCTTATTTGCTGATGATACCTCTTTGATGTATTCTTCGTCTTCTCATGCTGATATTGAAATGTGTGTAAACAGAGATTTGGAAAAACTTGACAAATGGTCACGGGACTGGCTTACTAAATTTAATCAACAGAAAACTGATGTGTTATTTATATCTAATTCGCGAAATATACTTCCTTTACAGATTTGTTTTGGTACTGAGACTCTGAATTGTGTTGAAAGTCATAAACATTTAGGCGTAATATTTAGTGCAGATGCAAAATGGTCTTTACATATTTCCGAAATTCAAAAAACATGCATGAAAAAGGTATCAGTACTACGAAAGTTT